TCCGATCTCCCCAAAACCCCAAAACCCCTCAATAATTTATCACTGGACTAATTTTAAATATCAGAAATTAATAACCTATTTGAGATTCAATAATACTATTTCAATTAACATTCATAAATAAATTCAAAATATCTAATCAATCCACAAAATCATATTAAGATAAGTTAATTCAGGATATGCTTAATACCTCCTATCCATTTCAAACAACGTGCTAAACCAGCTCTATGCCAGACTCTGCGAGCATCTCTTTCGATAGAACGCTGTCATAGTTTTTATTGTAGACTATTTTCCTGATTCCAGCTTGGATAATGATCTTGGTGCAAAGCAAGCAGGGGAAACTTGTGGTGTAGATAATGGCATCTAGAGTTCTAGGTCTGCCAGCTTCAATACAAGCAGACTCCTCAGCATGAAGGCACTTGCACTTGTCCAACTCCAGACCCTAAGCAACATTAGAGTTACATCTTTAGCAGCCTCCCTCATTGCAGTTGATGTGCTTGAAAGGTGTGCCATTGTATCCAGTCGATACGATACGAAAGTCCTTAACAATAATTGCACCATTTCCTCGTTTCATGCAATTCGACCTCTAAGCAGCTAACTCTGCGAATTTCATGAAGTAGGTGTCCCATGAAGGTCTCACGAGATCCTTGTTATCGAACTTAAACTCGTCCAAGGTCCTGTAAAAGTCAAGTATGTCTCCTGAGTTGTGAAATCTTCTTCTTATAAAGTGCTGATGCTCTTCGTCTGTCTTGTACATCGAGTACTCCTCTTTGTTGAAGTTAATCTGTATTCAAGTAAAGCTAGTACATGCTTACATTATCATCTAAGTCCACGAAATTCTCGAGGGACATACTGCTCTGCTGATTGTACTTCTGCTTGAACCTCAGGTATCTTTGCTTTACTGGGGCGTCACATTCATATAAGATAAAGTAATATCTCGAACTAAAATATCATTACATGCTACTATTCATACATCATAATTTGGATCTCTTCGCATGAACTCAGAGGGTAAATGACATAATGACTTTTCCAGTCACTTGTTATGGTTCTGAATACTGCTTTGATCAACTTTATTCTAGTCTCCTTGTATTTCTCTAATAACCCCTCAGAATCCATAACTGAATGAATCTTGGTCAAATGGAATCTGCATTGCTTCAACAATTGACTCTAACTCATTTATGCTAGCAAATGAATTCGTTTGAGAAAGAGTCTCATTATCATTAGTGTCATCATCCTCCTCTGATCTTTTCTTAGGTGAGTCAAGTGTAAGTTTGACATCATCATCGGTGACCTCTCTAAACAAGAGGAGCAGGTTAATGACCTTGAAATCATATTTATCTTTTAGATACTAAGCGAGTGCGGTCTTGCCTGCACATATAGGCCCAGTTAAACCAATAATCATTTTACTATTACTTTGAATGATTAATAAGAATAAGTCTTTGTTAATTATTACCTAATTACTCTAAAATTTAGGCTTTTAGGCCAATTCGGGGTTTTGGGGTTTTGGGGTTTTGGGG